TCGTGTTGTTTTTATATGTTGTCAAGTTGCCTGCGACTCATAGAGACCCTATGTACAACAGCCCTAAATCCTGCTCTATCCCTTACCAATCTCATTGTCTCTGACACACCTATTTCCACTACTCCAGTGACTGACTCAATCCATCTCATCTCATCTGAGCTAAACTCACCCAAGGCGTCAGAGGTTCCAAATCTCAGGTTTACCACAAAATACCTGAGTGACCTCTGGCAAGGCACTTACTTCATCTTTCCTAACCTTACTTGTAAAAGGGGGACAAATATAACTGATAGCAGGGATGTGGCAAGAACATAACTAAAAATAACGTGACAGTGACTGGAATGGAATGCCAGTTCACTTCCTTTACCAATGGACGCCTTTCCCGCCTCCCCACTCAACTGTGTATACTCAAAGGCCCATTTGACAAACACAATGGGTCAGTCTCTCTGGAACACTCACCATGGTAAGGCTGGTCACAGAGGCCCTCCTCTGTGCCTCCTTTCACCCAGACATCAGATGATCTTGTACTTGCGATAGCGTGTCCGTCCTTCAGAGACAGCCTGTACTGGGCAGCTCCATACAGAGAGGTGTGCTCACACTTCCACCACAGCATGGCCTTGGAGTCACAGGTGAACATTCGCAAGGAATCCACGGGTTTGGTGATATCTAGGCCCAGACACTTCTGAGACTGCAAATGAAAGAGCCGATGCTGAGACACCCACTTCCATAGCATGTCCTCGGTGTCCTGACAGTCCTTTGCTACAATCCAGTCATTCAGCGGCTTGATACACTTGCTCGTGTTTACATTGACGATGGTGAATGGATCATTACCTGGGTAAAGACAGTGAAGGAGATATTTCAGGATCGTAAACTGTATGAGCAGTGTGCCATGGTTCTTGCTTTCTAAGGGAAGTCTGAGTGCCACTGGCCTGCTCCACCCTCAGTGCTTTAGAAACCGCCATGTATTACACAATGGTAGAAGGAGAATGATTACCTGAAAACAGAGGCTCTGAAACTGGACTGTCCAGTTACAATCATTCCTCTGCTACTTCTTAACCATGTGACCAGGTCAAGTTATTTAACTTCTGTACTTCAGTTTCTTCACTTGTAAAATAGAGAAAATAACTGTATATATTTTGCATAGTTGCTGTAAACATTAACAAAGCTAATGTATATAATGTTTAGAGGCAAGGATGATGAGACATCATCTCATACACTTTGGGCATGTTGTCACGAGGGGTCAGTCTTTGGAAAAGGACACAATGCTGGGTACGGTAAAGAGTCAGAGAAAGAAAAAAAGACCTTCAACAAGGTGGACTGGCACAGACACTGCAACAATGGATTTGAGCGTAACAGCAATCATGAAGATGGCACAGGATAGAACGGAGTTCAGATCAATTGTTGATAGGGTCACTGTGAGTTGTAAACGACTCACTGGCTCCTCACAACAACAATATGCATATAAAGCACTTAGAACAATACATGTATTTGTTATTGTAATTCCATAAGAACAGCTCCTTACTTCTCATCTTCCTTAGCCAAGTGGTCTATGGTCAATGAAAATGATTCTGATCCTGTTTGTCCACTATTCTAACTTGCATAAATTGTGGCTACTGTTGTTAGATGCCTTTGAGTCAGCTCTTATTCATAGTGACCTTATGTACAACAGAAGGAAACCATGCCCCATTTTATAGCAGGATAAAGTATGACATGAATGTCTGCTTGGTTCTAAGTATATCTTCCTTGCCCCTGGTTCATGCTCGTAGCTGGGCCTCTGTGATACTCCTCTGCTTCAGGAAAGCTAGTGGTACAATACAGGAGACTTAACTTAAAGACCATTTCTGCTCTCCTCAAAACTTCATTCCCTGTCCTAGACCTTTTGTAGAAGATTGAGTTCATTATGGTATCTCAGTAGAGGTAAAGAGCCTTTTGTGAGAGTCTGCTTTACAGTGAAACAGAAATGAGAGAAAATGGAGGTCTGAGTTCTGAAGGTAGAACGGACCTGCTGTGAGATGGAAGCACTTGTAGGAATGTGACAAAACCTAGGTAGGGGAATGGCTACCAGGCTGTATGGATCACCTAGAGAGATAGAACCCTGAGCTCCAGGAATTACCTACAGGCCAATGAGTTACTCTTTCCTATTTACTCCACATTTGCTTCTAGAATACTCATGGATGGACTTAATGACCCCTTAAGAGCTCTGAAAGACTAGAGGAAATAACAAGTTTAAGAGGAAGATTAAAGAGAAGGACCTCCTGACTGCTTATTAAAGATGCATGAGTTGGGGGAGACCTCACTGATGACAAAGCTGAATTGTGCAAACTCTGAGCACTGGAAACCCAGAACCAAATTCTGTTTGGGTTAATAATAATTTTTAAAAAAGTATTGTTTTTCTTCACCATCTGATTTCTCTATAGTAAGATTCACAGCTGTTACAATAGACTACTGTAGGTTGCCATTTGAGTAGATACTGATTCATGGAAAGCCCATGTGTACAGAATAGGATTATTCCATGGGGTTTTCAAAGCCATGACCATTCAGCTGATCATCAGGTTTGTTTTTCAAAGGACTTCTAGGTAGATTTGAACAAACAGCTTTTTGACTAATAGTCACAAGCTTACCAGTTTCCACCACCCTGAAATTTTAAACAAGAGACTACAGTTGAACAATGTGATCCATCTTTTTTTAAGTAGTAAAATATAGTTCGGGACATTATGTGGAAGAGCATGAAATATATTAGACAAGCTTAAACAACCATTGTCAATGAACCAAAGAGTTAAGGAGAATTACTTGTGAAATTTTGGTCCCAAATGCACTTTCATTTTGATGCCAACTTCACAGTCACTGGTTTTACCAACACCAGAAGTATTTTCAAGTCATAGTTAATGGGCTATAAATGTTCAAAATTCTCAAACTGGGGAATTTTCATCTTGAGGGGAATTTCACCATGTAAATGATGAAGCTAAAATAAAATTGAACTGCAGTTTGTACTCTATAAGCAATTGGAAAAAAACCCACAGCAGCAGCAACAACAAAATAAATAAAGCTTAAAGTTATTTATGCTTTTTAATTTCTATTTTTAAAATATTGTACAGGGCTGCAGTTAGTTATTATTGCCATAGTTGCTTCCATCCCTCACTCTTTCCTCTTTGATATCATTTCTTTGATTCAATACATGATGAACACAGGTTGTGAAGCCAATCTTAAAATACTGGCACTCATACTTTTTCTAATAACCTTGATGTATATTCAGGAGGGAGCTCTGATGACCTAGATGTAAGGAGTTGTTCTGCCAACACAAAAGCAAACAGTTTAAATTTATCAGCTGCTCTGAGGAAGAGTTTTGGTCAACCTCCTCAAAAGCCCTTAGAAAACTGGCTAGAGGGACAGCCACAAGTCTATTCTGACTTGATAGCACATAACAACAGCAATAACAACAATATATATTTAAGAGTCATTCTAGCCTTACTACCTCTTGCCCAAAGTAATTTCTTCCACTTCTCCAAAATTAATTGTGTGTTCCAAAGTATCAGGAATTACAACAATGAGAACAATGTTTGTACAAGAGAAGAGGTGGCCAGCACCCTTGAGGAACCTTCCTCCCTTCTGCTCTGCACACTCCCTGGTTGCCCTCTGGGCACTCTGCTCTGTGTCTCTTGCCCCAAACAAGTAAGTTGGGAAAGCAGCAGTTTTGCTTTCTTTTTCAGTTTGGACTTCTAGAATATTCTAGTTGACTTTACAGTGATCAACTGTAGTTCTCAGTATTGTGAATAGAGCAAGGGATTAAAGAGTAAGAGGTGAAGACCAGCATCTGCTACGCGTAAGGCAGGAGACCTTAGGCCACAGCCTTTCCAGGGCTTTTCATTCTTCAAACATACAATGAAAGCAGTGGGATAAATAATATCTAAAGACACTTTCAGTGATAACATTTTATGCTTCCACAACATAACAGTTTTACGAGCTATAAAAACTTCACTAATCTTTGCTGAGTTTTTTTGCATTTTGCTCTAAAATAAATGTACACAAGGTGATTATGTCATGCTACTTTAATTTCAGCTCATATTAATCTTATTTGTATTAGACATATGAAATTAGATGATTGAGCAAATACCCTTGGGTGGTTGTTGTTGCTATGTGCCATCGAGTCATTTGCAACTCATAGCCACCCTATGTATAGAGCTTTAAACGCTGTTCTATCTTGTGCCAACCTAGCCATCTTAAACACACTTATTCCCACCACTCCAGTCACAGAATTGATCCATCTCATAGAAGGTCTTCCTCTCCTTCGCCACCCCTCCACTCTGCCAAACATGATGTCCCTCTCCAAGGACCAGTCCCTCCTTGCAACATGCCCAAAGTATTTCAGACGAAGCTTCAGAATTTTTGACTCCAAGGAGCAGCCCGGTTTCACCCTCTCCAGAACAAACCTATTAGCAGTCCATGGTATATTCAACACTCTTCTCCAGCACCACAGCTCAAAGGCATCAATTCTCCTTCTATCATCCCTATACACTGTCCAACTCTCTGATGCATAGCACATAATTGCGAAGACTATAGCCTGGATCAGGCACACCTTAGTCTCCAGTCTGATACCGTTGCTCTTCAGTACTCTTGAGAGGTCCCTCACAGCTGACTTTCCCCAATTCAACTTGTCTCTTGATTTCCTGGCTGCTGTTACCAAGAGTGTTGATTGTTCAGCCAAGCAAACTAAAACTGTTAACTATCTCAATCTCTTCACCATCCATACTGATGCTTCCAATTGGCCCAGTGGTGAGAATCTTTGTTTTCTTGATGTTGAGCCTCAATCCATACAGGATGCTGCAGTCCTTGACCTTCTGCAGCAAGCGCTTCAGGTCCTCCTCAGTTTCAGCAAGCAGGGTTGTGTCATCTGCATAACGCAGGTTGTTGATGACACTTCCACCAATTCTGATGCCACATTCCTCTTCGTACAGCCCATTGTCTCGGATGATCTGTTCTGCATACAGATTGAAAAGGTATGGAGACAGAATACATCCCTGATGGGCCCCCTTCTTGATTTTGAACCATGTAGTGTCTCCTTGCTCTGTTCTGACGACTCTCTCTTGGTCCAAGTATAGGTTTCGCATTAGCACAATCAAATGTTCTGGGATTCCCATTCTTCTTAGAGTCAGCCACAGCTTGTTGTGATCCACACAGTTCAAAGCCTTTGCATAGTCAATGAAGCACAGATTGACATTCTTCTGGTATTCTTTGCTTTCTGCCAAGATCCATCTAACATTAGCTATAATATCCCTAGTACCATGACCTCTTCTAAATCCAGCCTGTACATCTGGCAGTTCTCTGTTGACAAAATTGTTCCAAATGTTTTTGGATAATTTTCAGCAGAATCTTGCTTGCATGTGATATTAATGATATTGTTCAATAATTTCCGTACTCTGTTGGGGCACCTTTCTTTGGAATTTCCTTTCCCCATTTATATCACCTTTTACTTCTAGTACACCATGAATTAAAAACCTCTCATGCACTCTAAAATAAGATAGGAGAGGTATAGAACAGCACCAAGCAACAATTAAAGCATGCCACTTTAAAGACTAAGGTGCACCTGACCTAATGCATTATATTTTCAATTGTTTCATATGCTTGTGGAAGTTGTATAATGAATAAAGAAGATTAAGAAGAATTGAGGCCTTTGAATTATGGTGTTGGTGAGGAACACTGACTATACCATGGACTTCCAAAGGACAACAAATCTATATTAGAAAGAGTACAACCAGAATACTCCTTAGAGGTGAGGATGGCGAGACTTTGTCTCACATACTTTGGTCATGTATTCAGAAGAAACCAGCCATGGAAAAACACATCACGATTGGAAAAGTAGAAAGTCAGTATAAATGAGGAAGACTCTCAACAAGATGGATGTGCATAGTGACTGCAACTTAAGCACAGAAGAGATTGTAAGGATGGTTCAGGATTTTGTTGTATATGGAGCATACTATGAGTCAAAGAACACTCGATGGCACTTAGTAACAAAAACTCATTGACACCAAATCAGAATCAACTCATAGCTGATCCTCCCTTAGGTTTTCAGAGGCTGTAAACCACGTGGGGAAGATGTTGTCCCAGTTTCTCCCATGGAGTTGCTGGAAGATTTGAGGTCGAGAGAGGGGCTACATTTGGGTTAGCAGTGCAACTTTGTACGCACTAGGCTGCCAGAGTTCCCTAACGGCAAGAGCAGTAATTACTAAATCACCAAATCTCTGAATGTAGATACATGCTTTTATTTTAACCATGTATTTGAATCAAGAATGCTAAATCAGTGTTTATACTAGAGTGGCCACTTAGCATCGATCTTAATTACTGATATGATTTAAAGTAATCCAATGGCCTACCTATATAATGTAAAAAACCTTCACACCTAAAATACTAGCTAGTGAAAATGCTGTTCTCTTTCAGGATGTTTTGCCTTCTCTTTCCTCACTCTTAACATGAGCTGTTCAATCTATTTGGGTCTTGTGATCCTTTTGGGATGAGAGGTGAGTGGGAAGAAGGGCTCTGAAATAGGCTAGATCATCATGAAACAGAATCAACTCAGTGGCAATTGGTTTGGTAATTTCTAAGCTAGAAAAAAATTTCTTAACTAGAAGATCTGCTTTGAGTGCTTGGGGTGGTGATGGTGGTGGAATCTACCCTTTACTTTGAGCGAAAAGAAAGGACAAAGGCTACCAAGACTATAAAAATAATAATAAATAATAATTGCATGGGGAACAGAAATATATATATGATATATAAAATATTTCAAAAATGTATTACAATTTTAACAAGCAACTACAGAGCAATTAATAAAACATTAAAATGTTATCTTTTACCTTCAAATATAATATTGAGAGAAATCTAAAAGGCACAGATAGATGAAAAGAACAATTGTCACCTCTAGTAGTACTTTTTATATGCTTCATTCTATAAATATAACCCAATGGCGCCCAACAGGAAGTGGCTAATTAGCACTATCACAAACTGAAAGTGAAGTTTTAATATTTCTACCTCCATCAAAGGAAACTGTCTTCTAATAAGCCATAAGCCAAAGAGTTTTCCATATTCCAAAGGGAAGCTGGATATTAACATTTTACAAGCCACAGATGGAGAGTGAAATAGGTTTGGAAAAGTAAAAATAAAGATGGCCACATCTGTAGTTTCAGGTGAAAGTTCTGCAGCTCACACAGCAAGTGTTTTACAGAGTGTCCACTGTATGTGTGAGCAGAGTGAAGAGACTTAGTAAGAGAGGATCAGAAGTTTGGGTCCTGATGTGGCATTTGGGTCCATGGCAGTTGACCGGGAGTCAGAAAGTCATAGACGAAGACTTTAAGAAGTCCCTAAGGAATGTTTTACTTCAAGTTGTTAGCATTCCCAGGAAGGTATAAAAAGCAAACTAAGCATTGGCATGTCTCCAAAGACACAGCATTTCTCATTTAGCAACTGGGCAACGAAGTCCACTCAACAAAAACTTAGCTGCTTGCATGCTATCTCCAGCATCAGGAAGCTGACACACTGCCAAACAAGTGACCAAAATGGTTCAAGTTTCAAAATCTCAGTGCTTCCCCTAATAAGGTGACTAGTCTGGTCTCAGGGTGAGGGGAGGCTGACCAGCAAAAGTTGAAGGAAGGACGCAGGAAACCAAGTACCTGCAGGAACCTCGTGCATGGAAAATGAAGTTAAGCGGATGCTCTGTGCTTTCTGGTGTTGCTGAATTAAGAGTCTTTGCTTTGGTTGGGCAGAGAGGGCAGGACTGTAGAGAACACAAAAAAAATACAATAAATTTTAAAATCTATGGGAACACAAAATATGACAAAGTAAATGTAGAGAGAAACACAAAGGCTAGTGATTGAAAAGGTAGTACTTAGCTGCTGCCGTGAAATAAATTTTCCTTGGTGTGTGTTTGTGTGTGTGTGTAGCGACCATAACAGAATTTTCATAGCAATAAAGTACTACATTGTGAATATATGCAAACAGATATGTGTGTGAATATATACATACATAATATATATTTTTCTATAGATTTATATATCTAGTGGCATAGTCCATAGAGAGTTGTGCTGCTAACAGCAAAAGTTACGCCTCACTTGAGCCAGTAGCTTCAGGGGAAAAGACAGGAATCACCTCCCCTAGAATTTAAAAGGCATCTGAAGAAAGGAAAGATACAGTGAGGATGTGGTTTGATATTGTAACAAATGGCATTGATCAAATCTAGTTAGTGTCATAAATCATAAATGAACGTGAATAACTGAGTAAAAACCAAAATATTTTAAAAAGCCTCCAAAACTCTACCAGAAGGTTAGCTATGATTTAGTTCCAACTTAGCAACAATGAATCTGAAGGGATTTTGTTTTTCCTTTAAAAAAAATTTTTGTCAAAGCAGAATGGGGAAATGTGAATGAAATTCAAATTGGGTCTATTACATGGTCCTTGGAGTAGATAAGGCAATGCCACCCACACTTTGAGAAAACTTGTTTCACACTCCGAAGAAAGCCTTAGATTAGTTAAAATGAAATTAAAAGCCACAAGCAACCTACCAATATTTTTCAAAAATTCCCTTAACCATATTTCACTTCCTTATAGAGATAACAGCAGAAGTGGTTGGTTGGGGCAACCTATTCATGATTCATCATGTGGCCCAACCAAGAAACAAAGTCCTCAGCACACCTTTTGCCAAGACACAAAGAGAAAGTAAAAGCAAACTTTCAGTTAAGGCCAGGATGAAGGGTGGGCACTACCCCGAGCATCAGGGCGTCCCTTCCTGGAGGGTCCCAGGCACAGAAAAGGTGCTTCAGCTGGAGGCCGCCAACTTTGGAAACTCAACAACCAATTACCAGGGAAGGTGGCTGCTCTGGGTGGTGAACGAAGACAGAACACATTTCTATGTTCATGACCACATTCTGAGAAGATGACTTGCTTCCTCACGATGGGCCATTGGCGTCAGGGAGTCTTCCCTTATCCTTTAAGCTTTGAGAGAAATATTTCTGACACTGGGGAAAGGAGGTAAAAAATAAGAAAGGTGGGAGGGTAGGGAATAAGGAAGAAGTACATTCTCCAAAAGGACAAGGACATACTCCAGAGAAGCAACACTGTAAAAGGTTGATCAGGAAAAGGAGGGGAGGGAGACGCTCAATGAGACTGAGCAGTTTCTTGACACTGGTCCCTCCAACTCCAGGACTACCCTACCCAGTCACACCCCACAGCAGCCTTTCCACGACCCTGGAGGGCAGGGGAGTGCCGTCCCTGCCAGTTCTCCTCTTCAACTCCCTTTCCAGCTCTAGACCTCAGAGCAAAGCAGACTGTGACCAGACCCCAGAGGGCAGCCCTGACCTGCACCTCGGATGGAAAGTCAGCAGAGCTGGGAAGTGGAGGCCAGGCGGCAGAGCAGCCATGCCCTCAGTTACCTGTGGTGCCAGAGGGCTCCGCGGGCCCGAAGCACCCCACGAGCAGCAAGAGGAAGCTCGCCGTGCTGTGGGGATTCGCCGGGGGCGTCCTCATTGTGTACCAGCTCTGGCAGTCCAACCTCGCGCAAGTAGCACCCACAGTCCCGGGAGTGTCCAGTCCACCAGTCTACCGGGGTTTCCCGGCCCCGCCCCCGCCTTGCCTCCCTGTGCCAATCAGATCGGTGTCTCCCTGGGGCAGGGCGGAGGGAGGTGGCGTAGGTGGGGAGCTCCTGGGGAAGGCGGAACAGGACCCTGAGCCAGCTCAAAGCACCTGTGGGATGCAGGAACCGCATGGAGACAGAGATGGGAAGTGCGCCCAGAGGGTGCGTGCAGGGCACTGCGCAAGTTCCTAGGTTTACGTGAGTTTCCTCTACATCAACAAGGTGAGGAACGGTGACACTTGGTGCAACTTGACATTGCCCTGAAGGGAAGATTGGGTCAGTTTGAGACCTTGAACCCTACCTAGGGGACTCCAGTCAGCAACAGCTCTTCCATTACAGAACTTGGCTGGAGAAGTTACTACAACGTACTTCATGGGAGAGAGGAAATGCTTCTTGATGTTACAGTTTGCCAGGAGCTGGCACAGACTTGCAGAGATTCTATGCACAACAGAAGGAAGCACTGCAACTGCAGCTCCGCCGGTCCTATGCCTTCCTCACAGGCATTGCTGGTTGAGCCGATAGCTGCAGATAATGTGTCAATCCATCCCCTGGAAGGTTTTCCTCTTTTTTGCGGGTCTCCCTCTGTTTCATTCACCATCCACTTTAGCAAGCACGATGACCTTCATGGACTGGTCCCTCATGATAATATGTCCAAAGTAGATGAGACAAATCCTCTGCTGTACTGACCTCTAAGGACCAGTCTGGTTTCACATTTTAGAAGAATGATTTGTTAATTTTTCTGGCAGTTATGGTATATTCAATATCTTTCATCAACACTGTAATTCAAATTCCCCAATTCGTGAGCCTTCTGTTTTCTTTGATAAGCTTCCCAATGCATATAGGAGACAATTGAAAACAGTACAGCTTGGGTCATTAACACCTTAAAGCTTAAAGGGACATCTTCCCTTTTTAACACTATGAAATATCTTTTGCAAAAGATTTGCCCAATGCCGTGTTTCCTTTTATTTCATTACTGCTGCTTCCATGGGTGAAAGTGTGGGTTGAGTGTGGGTTCAAGTAAAATGAAATCCTTGACCACTGCAATAATTTATTTATGTATAATGTGTTATTGCTTATTGGTCCAGTTGTGAAGATTTTCATTTTATTTTTGTTGAGGTAAAAATCCATAGTGAAGATTTTGATAGTCACTAATAAGTTTTTCTGCATGGTTTAAACTTAGGAAGGAAGTGTGTCACGGATGTCTCCATACCTTTTCAATCTATATGTGGAACAGGTCATTTGGGAGGCTGGACTTTATGAGGAGAAGTGTCGCATGAGGATTGGAGGAAAATGCCTCAACAACCTGTGTTATGCAGATGATGAAACCTTGTTTGCAGAAACTGAGGAGGACCTGAAGTGCTTGTAACAGAAGGTCAAAGACTGCAATCTTCAATATAGATTGAAGCTTAACATCAAGAAGACAAAGATTCTCACCACTGGATGAATTGCCAGCACCATGATGGATGAAGAAAAGATTGAGGCTGTTAACAATTTCTTCTTGCTCAACTCCACTATTAACACTCTTCGCACCAGCAGTCAAGAAAACAAAAGATTAATTGCATTGGGGAACTCTGCTGTCAGAGATCTTTCCAAAGTGATAAAGAGCAATGATGCCAGTCTAGAGACTAAGGTGTGCCAGATCCAGGCCATGGTCTTCACAATTACTTACTATGCATCAGAGAGCCAGACTTTGACTAAAGATCACAGGAGAATCTGTGAATTTGAGTTGTGGTGCTGGAGAAGAGTACTGAACATATCATGGACCTCCAGAAGAACAAACTAGTCTGTCTTGGAGAGAATTAAACCAAGTGTCTCCTTGAAGGCAAGGATTTTGAAGCTTTGTCTCACATACTTTGGGCACGTGACCAGGAGGGACCAGTCCTTGGAGAAGAACATCAAACTAAGAAGGGTGGAGGAACAGTGCAGGAAAGGAAGACTCTGGATGAGATGGATTAACATGGTAACTGGGGCAATGGGATTAGGTGCATTGGAGTCAGTAAAACTGGTTCAGGATAGAGCAAGGTTCAGAGCTATTGTACATAGGGTCACTATGAGTTGCAGGCAATTTGCTAGCACATAACAAAAACAACAACCATAGGAAGTTCTTCAATATTCCTAGTTTTCAGCAATCAAAGCTACACCATCTGCATAAATCAGGTTTTTTTTCCCTGAGCCAGAGGCTGAGTTCTTTTTCATATAGTGTAGCTTCACATCCCCTTATTCTTTTTGAAAGACTGCCTTTTGGTCTATGTACAGGTTCCTTATAAGCATAACTAAGTGCTCTGAAGTTTTCACTTTCCTAAATGCTATATTGCATATTCCTACATGCTATATTGCATATATCAAATATCCTATTTCATTTATCAAATGCAAAGGCACTTGAACATATGTATCATAACACATTATGGCTAACATTGAGAAGAATGAGAATCCCAGAACACTTTACTGTGTTTGTGCTAAAACTGTACCAAGACTAAGAGGCTGTCATGTGAACAGAGCAAGGAAACACTAGATGGTTTAAAATTAAGAAAGGTGGATCATGGTTGTATCCTCTCTCCATGCCTATTCAATCTTTGTGCTGAGCAAATCATTTGAGAAGCTGGCCTGGATGAAAAAGAATGTGGTATCAGTATCAGAGGAATATTCATCAACAACATATGTTATGCAGACCAAAATCTTGCTTGTGGAAAGTAAGGAGGACTTGAAGTATTTGCTGCAGAAGGTAAATATATATAGCCTTTAATATGCATTACAATTCAATGTCAAGAAAAAAAGGTATCATTATTGGATCAATAGCCAACATCAAGATAGATGGAGAAAAGATTGACATTGTCAATGACTTCATCTTACTTAGATCCATAAACAATACACTTGGTACTAGCAGTTAGGAGATGAGGCAATGTATTGCATTAGGAAATCTGCAGTTAGGGACTTCTCCAAATTATTGAGGAGCAGTGTTACCAGTTTGAAGACTAAGGTATGCCTGATTCAGGCCATGGTCTTTTAAATTACTAGCTATGCATCTGAGAGTTGGAAAATGATTAGGCATACGAGAAGAAGAATTGATGCCTTTGAGTTGTGGTGTTGAGTTGGTTTTAGCTGAATATCCTAAACATTTCCAAAAGAACAAAGAAACATGTCCTGGAGAAAATACAGTCAGTGTGCTCCTTGGAGGCAAATAGGACAAAACTTCATCCCACATGCTTTGAGCATGTGCTAGAAGAAGGTATTTCTTGGAGAGGGACATAATGCTTGGAAAAATGGAGGGTCAGCGAAAGGTAGGCCCTTAATGAGCTGGATTGACACAGTGACTGTGGCAGTGGGCTCAACCATATCAGAGATGATGAAGACGGCAAAGGATAGGATTCAGATCTGTTGTTCATAGGGTCACTATGAGTTATACTTGCTTGCACCTAACAACAACAACAAGAACAACAACAACAAATGTTTATATAATTTGTTATGATCCATCCAGTTGAATTCTTTAGAATAATTAATAAAACACAGGTCATCATCTATCTGAGGTCTTCTACTTTCAGCCAAGATCCCTCTAGTGTCAGCATGATATTCTTTATTTTCTTTCTCTTTTGAATATGGCTTCAGTTTCTGGCAGTTCCTTGTCTATGTACTGCAAATATTTTTCAATTATCTTCAGCAAATTTAACCTAAGTTTGTTAAAATTTAATTCTTTTGTTCAGTAATTTCCGCATTGTGTTGAATCACCTTTCTTTGAAATGAATACATACGTGGATCTCTTCCAGTTGGTTGGTCAGGTAATTCTCTTCCGAATTTCTTGGTATAGATAAATCATCATTTCTAACAATGCATCTGTTTTTTGAAACATCTCAATTGGTATTTTGTCCATCCTGGGGCTTTGTTTACACCAATATCTCTAGTGCTGTTGAAACCTTTTTCTTTACTACATTTGTTCTTAGTAATCCACTGCCTCCTTAAATGGTTGAACAATGGCCATTTCTTTTTGATTGCATGAACTCACCAGATGAAATACAACGGAATCAAATCAGCTACATAAGTTGAAAGAGATAATGGGGAAAGCTTGATACTATTCATTAGAAAAGGCTGGCTGTGGAATAGATCATAATCCCTCATATACAACTTTAAGCTGAAGCTGAAGAAAAGTGAAATATTTCCATGAAAAAAGAAATATGACCTTGAATGGTCTATTTTAACTTAGAGACCATCTTAAGACTAGGTTTGAAGAATTGAATAGCAATGATGAAAGACCACATGAATGATATGACATCATGAATGAGATGACAGGTGAATGAGATCTCTTTATCATGAGATAAATGAGATGCCGTAAAGGAAGAAAGCAAAAGATCCTTGAAAAGACATGAGAAAAAGATCAAAAACAGATGTCAGAACAGACTCTAAAACTTACTTCAAAACTAATTAAAGTGAATGGGAAAATAATGAAAAAGCTGAGCAGGAGATTTCAAAGGGACTATCAAGAAGATAAAAAGAGATTTTGAGTTAGAAAACTAAAAGGGAAGAATTATATAGTAAAAATTTCTCAAACTTAAGAACTGAAGAAAAAATTCAAGCATTAAGTTAAATTATTGAAAGATTCTATAAGCAAAATATTGAACAACACTAGAAGTATCAGACAGAATACAGGATCACTGTACTAAAAAGAATTATGACTTAGGCTAAATCAAAGAATTTAGTCACTCCTGGCAATATCTTGGCTATTTTAATTATGTAAACAAAGATGGGTAGTAGCAGACAGCAATTATCTCAAAGTTAAAGAATTAAAAGCAAGAACAGTAATCATTTGAGCTTTGCAAATAAATTTATCAACAAATTATCATAATCATTCAGTAGAAATATGAAGTCTACACTGAGAAGCAGAAATTGTATGTTCAACACATCC